CCCCCCCCCCCTGCGTGCGCCACTGTTTGCTACTCTATAATAGGTATTTTAAATGGATTTAATATAGTTAAAATTTAAAATATACAACATAAAGTATTTGTTATTTGGAACAGAACAGAGTATGAAAGTTGTAAAAATCAAAATGTTTAGATCATTGAGTGGAGTGACAAGAGGAGATAGAAAAAAGAATGAATGCATAAGGTGTATTATTGGTGTATTATGGATAGTGGACAAGATACTAGAAAATGGACGGAGATGATTTGGGCATGTGATGTGGCAAGAGGAAACAAAAGCAATAAGAGTGATAATGAAAATTAACGTTGAAGGGAAAAGAGGAAGAGGAAGACCCAAAAAGAGATTGTTGGATAGGATTGAGAATGATATGAGAGTTGTTGGTTAATGTGTAGGCGATGTAGAAAATCAATATGAATCGAGTTTTAGGACAAGGGTGACCAACCCTAAATAGTTGGGAGAAAATTGAAGGAGAAGAAAAAGTGTTTGTTATTTGAATTTCAAGAAATTTTTATTTTGCCTAACATTTAAGTAAATTTGGGCTTAATATAAATTATTTATATATTGAATGTTTTAAAAACTTAAATTGTGTAATTAGATTAAATTATTAAAAAACTAAATTTGATGTGTAGTATTATGTAATATACTTACCATATTTTTCTCACTTATGATTAATTCAATTTTACATATTTATAAGTTATTTTATGATTGTTATTTTATAACTACCATGTTTTTTTATATTTAAAAAGTACTATTTATATATAAACTTAATTTATTTTCATCATATTATATGTAAAAATTTATTTACTAAATAAAAATAAAGAAAAATCTAATTTTAATGTACTATAAAGTATTTGTGTAATTGATACATCTATAATTAGAATATTTTTCAAATCAAATTAATCTATTATATTTTGTATGTTTCAGGTTTCATCCTAATAATGTTCTAAAAGTACGTACATTAGCTGATTCATTAGGCTGTTTTGGCTTGATTACAGATTGTAATAGATACATAGCTAACTATTTTCCGGATATTTCATTATCAGAAGACTTTTTAAATCTCAGTAATTCTGAAATAATAGATATTATTAACAAAGATGAACTTCAAGCATCTGAAGAACAAGTAATATAAATGTTTAACTTGACCAACAAGTCAACAGATAAAATATTTATTTATTCTAGGTATTTGAAGCAACCATACGATGGGTGAAACAGGATGAACTTAGACAAGAAAGTTTCCCACAATTACTTGCTGCTGTAAGATTACCATTACTTTCACCTCATTATTTGGCAGATCGTGTTGCCACTGAAGAATTAATTAGATCTTCACATGAATGCAGGTTAAACATTTTAAAATGCTTACTTTACCCATTATTATCCTTGGTAGATATATTTGGTATCATTTTCACAGTTTTATTAATCTTTGTTTAAAATTGTGCTCAATTTATTTTAATAACAATGCAACTTACATAAGTATTAGTGGGGAAGCAATGTTTCTTCAAAATCCTCACTATTGTTAGTTCAAACTATATAAATTTTATGATGGCTATTAAAACAAAAACTTTAAAATATAAATGATACATGATTTAATATAACATATATTTATGCATATTAATATTATGGGTAAATCTTGAAATCCAAACTATATTTTATAATTTAGTAGGTACATTTTATTAAACGTTATTAATTTGGCATGATAGTAGTGTAGGTTGTGAAAATGAAGTCTTTCAACACATGAAGTAATCAATTGCTTATATACTTTATATAATATCAGTGCTATAAAAACCAGGTGTATAGAGTGTGCATTGAACACAGGCTCCTGAGCTTCATATTATATTATGGAACCTTAAAAGGTCAAATTCTTAAAAATATATTAAGATAAGAGGTTCCAAGATTTTAATTTGCACACAAGCTTCAAGTAGTTAAGTTACGGTACAACATAATATGGAAAATTAAAATAATAATAATGATTTTTGATCACAAACAATGTTGTGTAAACAATGGAGGTGTAGACATTTGACGGCTTATAGCTAGTCTGATCTGTATCTTAGTGATTTCCTGCATTACGGTCGTCTGTGTAAGAAACAGTTGAATTGTTTTAAATATTACCAATATTGACCATGAAAAATTATTATGTTAAGGTTGAACAAGAAAATAATATATATATATATACTAATTAATCATAAAAAATTATATTTCATAACATATGATTGAAATATTCTTTTAAATAAAATGCATTATTAATGTAAAGAACAAGTATTTAATTTGTTTATAACTAAAATAACTTTGATTTTAGTAGAAATCTCGATTATTATTTTTTATTTTTTTAACATTCAATTGGTACTTATTTATTTGTTATTTAGAGATTTATTAGATGAAGCTAAAGATTACCATTTAATGCCTGAACGACGGCTTCTATTACAAAGTTTTCGCACTAGACCTCGCTGTGTTAGTTATATTTGTGGACACATCTATGCAGTTGGTGGATTAACCAAATCAGGTATATTTGAATAATTTCTTGGCTACACACGAATTGCGTCCGGCATTATCTAATATACTGCATGAATTGTGTCCGGTTTTGTTTAAACGATTGCATGAACGAATGATCATAATCATATTAAAGGTTCTGTTGAAGTATTTAATAGACAACAGTTAAGTAATAATTTAAAGCGAAAGGCTGTAGAAGAACTTTATGATAAACCATCAAAACTTATTCATGGAGCTTTATCAAAAGACATTCCAACATTGACAACTTATGATTTAACCTTGATTCGTTATAATATACACCACGCTCGGTCATCAACAATTCCAAAACTTCCAAATAACTTACCTGATTTACACAATATTTTATTGAATGAAAATATTCAGACTAACAGAGATGAACATTTTTTATTAGTGAATGACAACGAAAATAATATAATCATTTTTTCAACAATTACTAATTTAAATTTTTTAAGTGAAGTTGATACAATATTTGTGGATGAAACTTTTAAAAGTTGCCCAAAACTGTTTACACAATTTTTTACAGTCCATGGCTTGAAAAATAATAATTATATACCACTAGTATTTTTTTTACTTCCTAATAAAAATATAGATACTTATATAAAAGCATTTTCACATCTCAAATCTGAGTTTCTAAAAAATAATATCAATTTTTTATCTAAAATAATATTTGCCGATTTTGAAAAAGCAATCCACTCATCTTTGTTAATCGTGTGGCCATCAGTTCAAATGAAAGGATGCAGGTTTCGTTCAGGTCAAAGTTGGTGGAGGAAAATTCAAACGGTTGGTTTAAGTCAAGAATACAAAAAAAATTCAGATATCAGTATTTTTTTAAAATATTTTTTTGGTCTCCCATTTTTAAAACCAGATGAAGTGGAGGATTGTTTTACTGACGATATTGTATCCATTTTACCCGAAAATAAAAAAGTACAGCAATTATCCGATTATATATTAAATACATACATAAAGCCTGATTGTGACTTCCCGCCTTCTAATATACTCATGTTCTATAATTCGAACTACGAATAGTTGTGAAGCCTTCCACTCCAAGTTTAACAGTATGTTTTACTCAGCACACCCGAATATATTTCAATTTATAGATGTTTTAAAAAATGTACAAAAAGAAACTTATATTAAACAACGAAGTATTCATGTAATTAAAAACAGACGAATGATGGTATGTGAAAAAGAAAATTCACTAAGACAAAATATGGCAAAATATGAAAGTGACCAATTAACCCGTCTTGATTATATTAAGAAAGTATCATTCAAGTTTTTACCAATTTTTTAATTTTATAATTATATCTTTTTATATATATATATATATTTAAACTATTATATTATTGACCTACACATTTTATTTTACTTACATCTAATTGCATAACAATGATAAAAAAAACAATATTTTTAACCTACTGATAGTCGTAATTTGCTATTGACAGTCCTAAGTTTGTATGAAATGAGAAAGAAAATAATGTTTTTACGTTGGGACGCAATTCGGGTAGTTGTTAAATATGGTTGGGACGCAATTCGTGTAGTCGTTAAATATCTTTGGGACGCAATTCATGTGCAGCGAATTTCTTATAGTTCATCACCAGAATTAATTTTTTTAGTTTCTTATCAATTTTTTTTATAAATTTGAATTAACAATTTTATTATTTATATAACATTGTTTTTATTTAAAAATATCACATTTTTAATTTCAGGTGATTCATTGAGTACAGTTGAAGTTTTTAATCCATTAACTGGACGATGGGAAGTAGCTGAAGCTATGAGCATATTACGTAGTAGAGTTGGAGTATCTGTATTAAACAATAAACTTTATGCATTTGGTGGCTACAATGGAGTTGAAAGACTATCCTCTGTAGAAGTATTTGATCCTGCTACCAAATCCTGGAATATAGTGTCACCAATGCATCGGAAACGAAGGTTGATTTACTTTAATTATTATGAGTTGTGGCTAATATTAGTTCTCCCAATAAAGTTAGTTAACTTAAATATTAATACTATTTTTTAGTGCTCTTGGGGCAGCAGCTTTAAATGATCGAATTTATGTTTGTGGAGGATTTGATGGTGTTAGTTCATTAAATATTGTTGAATGTTATCAACCGAATTTAGATCGCTGGACAATTATTACACCAATGCAAAAACATCGAAGTGCTGGTGGTGTAGTTGCATTTGATGGTTATATTTATATTCTTGGAGGTCATGATGGTCTAAGTATTTTTGATTCTGTAAGTTAACAAGTAATAATTTAATTAAATATTTTATAAGTTCAGATTAGTTATTTTTAACTATTTTAATTTGATAGAAATCACTAAATAAATAGATAATAAATAAATTACTCATCAATTAATTTTTATACAGTAGAATATTTTCAATGTATGTAAAACATTAAGAAAATTGTATTATTGGGTATTTTTACAATATTTGTAGGACATAATATAATTACTAAGAAAAATATGACTCATTAATAACAAATACTTTAATTTTAATTGATTGTTTTACTAAAAATTAAAAATTATTCAATTATTTAGTTATTTCTAACTTATTAACTTCTATTTTGAATTTATAGTACTATAATATTGATTATTGTCTGTTTATATAATTTGTATTGATTGTTAAAAATATTTAAATTTACAGAAACAGATAAATATAATTTATTACTTATTAGTCAATATATATTTATATTTAGTAATGATTTATTTTAATTTATAGGTTGAACGATATGATACATATACAGGGCAATGGTCATCAGTAACACCTATGTTGGTAAAACGTTGCCGCTTAGGAGTAGCTACGTTAAATGGTAAACTTTATGCATGTGGTGGATATGATGGATCAACATTTTTACAAACTGTTGAAGAATATGATCCTCAAACAGACAAGTAAAGACTTATATTTGACTTTATCGTATAATTTAATTATATTGAATAATTTAAGAATAATATTAAGATTTGAAATATATAAATTCATATTTTAACAAAAATGTACTTATTTTCAAATATCCAAAAAAAAATTATAGTGTACTATTTTTTCCTAATACACATATTTTATTATTGTATATGTAACTATTAGTTATTTAAATTTTTATGTTAGAAAAAAAATTAAATAATATAGTTTTTGATAATAAAGGGTAAACTCAAACATTGATGTACTTAAATCAAACATTTTTTATGCTTTATGATAAACCATTTTATTTCCTCATATTTAATGAGTGTATATATACATACATTTTATGTAACTTTAAATGAAATCAAATAGCAATTAATTATTTTGTAAGGTTTTTTATTTACTAAAAGTCTCACCCTTTCTTCATACTCACTGTAATTTATTTATTTTTATCAAAAACAGGCTTGCACAGTTATCTATATAATTTATTATTACTACAAATCTAATGAAATCATTTTTAAAACAGTCTTCATTAATTTGCTCTTTAATATTTGTGTAATTTTGATTTTAATGTTTTTCGTGTTTACTTACAGATGGAAGTTTGTAGCATCAATGAATGTTACTAGAAGCCGCGTGGCATTGGTAGCGAACGCAGGCAAATTGTGGGCCATCGGTGGTTACGATGGATTTTTAAATCTACCTACGGTGGAAGTGTACGATCCAAAAGCCGATTATTGGATGTTTTCGGCATCCATGTGCGCTCATGAGGGTGGAGTCGGGGTGGGCGTCATACCCATCGAAGATCCCGAAGCACCATGAACTCAAGTTTTCATGACGTAAAATATTTACATAATATCATTCATCATACATAAAAGTATATGCCAGTTTATAAATTATACTTATATATTTATATGTATATGGTACGTATATATATATATATGTATGTATATGTATTTATGTATATGCATTTAAATGTCGAATATGTAATAATCTGTACTGTACTGCGTTCGGAAGATGAATAGACCAAGTGGTTCAACCAGGAGGATTTGGAATGTAAGAAAAATAATATCAAATCGGCACGTGATAATATTGTTTGATTTCGAGTGGACCACCCATGCGCGTTGCAAGCGACACGTCCAGTAATCGCGGCCGACGCTCCTCTGTTGAACGTGCGCCAGCAACTCGTTATCGGCTCCTACCGGTTTTAATTAGTCGTCTTTTGCCGCGCCAGGTCCTTTGTGTAAACGCGGAAAACACCAATTACAAACCGGGACTGCACAACGTCAATATAATTAACCTCCGTTTAAAGTGCTTAATTATAATAAAATGTTTATAGTAGATTGTGTGTCTGGACGCTGCAATATTTATTTGTTATTTCACGACAATAGCCAATATGTATGAAGGCGATCAAACACGGTCGTGAATCTTAGCAGGTACTCCAGGTCTTAAGACGCGATCGTTGTCAAAATTCATAAATAATCATTGCTCTGCGCACGGATCGTTATATAACCCGAAACACCGAATCTTTCGGTTTATCACTACAATAATTATACGCGTATGAAGTGCAGACATGTGCAGTCAATTCGACGTCACGATAGCTGTGCTACAAGTCGACTGCGTTTACGGCAAGCTGGAAAACGAAAAATGTCTTTTCTGATATTTTCTACATGAACACTACATTTGTTTGACAAATCGATGTCCTCAACAAACTTAATCATTTTTTTTCATCTTAGAGCTATCGGAATTCTAGTGCTTGTGTGTGCATAACTATGACAGAACGCTGACGGAATACAGAAACATCAATATATGTATATTTTATTTTCTGATACGTTTTAGAGATAAACTGTCGTCATTTTTTATGTCTCGCAGTATTAGTCGAATATAAGTATCGTATTCGGAAGTTGGCGCGTACCGCATTTTATTCTGATATGTGTCATATATGTATTATATATAAAATTATTGCAATTCATTATTAAGTAATTAATATTTTTAATTTTCTTTGACTTCTAACAGATTGCCTTTTTCCATTATGTAATTACTAATTTTTATCATCGACCAATTAATTAATTATGAACGTTAATAAATATTACATATTGTGATATTGGTGCAATAATATACACCTTAAATTACTATAATATCTGTCTTTATATTCCTTTCGATGGAGTTGAAATGTATAGCCAGTAGCGCGACCAGGATTTTTTCAAGGTGTTCACCAGTGGTATAATGTATAATATAATACCTATATACACCTGTACAATTATTTTTTAAAAGGTAATAATATTAGAATTTCGAATCACTGCTATTTAATATTTATTGTATTATCTTATTCAAACTTATTGTAATTATTTCTGTGGTTAGCATTTATTCAATAAACTGAAAATCATTATTAAAATATATTTTTAGATATAAATCACATATAATTATATATTATAATTTTACTAATTTTGTTTTTTCCGAGATAACCTTTTTATAACGTCATCTGTAGTAAATGCAATAATTGCACAAAAAGTATTTAACGTTACTGATCAATTTAGTCTACACATTGAGTTTCTGAGGTATGGTTTCAGTATTTTTTAAACAAAAAAGTCGATTATACTTTTATTAGCACGTTTACTTTAAACTACTTATTACCAACCCCCTTGTTTACGCCACGTGTACAACATTTAAAATTGATACGAGAAATATGGATGCCCATTGTCATTGACGTATTTAATGGTGGTGCTCAGCACCTCCAAGCTAAATTATAGTACATCTAATTCTAATTATGTAGCAATATTTTATTCTAAAATTTTGTTGTTATTTTTTTATTAGATTACATTTCAGAAAATGTTGGAGTTTTTAACATGCATGGATTATATTTAATTTTTGATTTATTTAGCAGAATAAAGTGCCCTCTTAAGTTTCTTACAAACTAATAAAGGAATAGCTATTATAATAATTGAGGTACCTATTTAATTTAATATTATGAATATAATTATACTATGCCAATAGTTTATTAGTTCAACACGGCCAGTGGCGTATATAGGAGGAGGGGTTTAGGGGTTCAACCCCTCCCCCCCGAAATTTATGGTTAGTACGACCCACGCGTGCATTTCTTTAATCTATGTATTAATTAAAACCAAACTGTCTAGTATGGGAAAAAAATGCTCTCTCCTAATTTTTAAGCAAATTATACGCCCAATTCTTACCTACGCTTGCCCGGTATGGGGTAATTATGCATCCTCGCACATCAAAAAAATGCAAATTGTCCAAAAGAAAGTCCTCAGAATAATTGCAAATGTTCCGTGGTTTGTCAGAAATCCAAATCTGCTATTGATACTTTCAATAAACTATCCGTTGATTTTTTTCCAAATATATGGTGCTTTATGTCAATATTAGTAACTTTACCAGTCTCAACAGCGTCATCAGAAAGATCGTTTTCGATATTGAAAAGATTGAAGTCGTGCTTGAGAAATAGTACAAGCGAAAATCGACTAACAGGATTAGCTCTCATGTCAATTCATTGAAGTATTTCAATAAACACTGAAGAAGTGATAAATAATCTTGCAAATCTATTTCGAAAATTAGACTTTGTCCTGTAATTAAATTTATGTATTCTAATTTTCATAGTTATTAAAAATAAGTTAATTTATAACCTTCATTTAGTATATATTTTTTCATAACCCCCTCCTAAATTAATTCCTATATACGCCACTAAACACGGCCGGCACGACAACGCTCTACGTGTATAATTTACTCAAATTATTTATTAATTTATTATAGATATATATTTGTACAAAAAAAAATAATAATAATTGAGGCATTATAATGTGATCAACAAATTTTAAATTGTTTCTTTTAATAAAGTAAGTTTCGAGTTTTTTCTATATTATGTTTTTTTTTTTTTTTAAATAACAATTAAGAACAATAGTAAATACCAGCAATTTTGTCGTATCATACAACGAAATATTTGTACTGGTTAAAATATATTTTCCATTCTTAATTTAATCTAAAGATAATAAGCATACGAAACAAGCATATGAAATTGTCATTATATGTGACCGTGTTATTCCGCGTCAATCAATAACGCGACACAATCAGTCAGGTGTATATCTTAATAAAGCTCGTACAATAGTCATTTTTTATATTTTCTCTCCTTCTTTATTGTATGTACACGTGATGGGTCCTACAGTGAAAAGGAAGAAATTTTCGTTGGAAGAGAAGGAAAACATATTTTAAAAGGTATGACATATCTCCATCAACATTGTCAATAATTTTGAAGAACCATGAAAGCATCTGGAAACCACTACAGATTTCTATTTTTATCTTAAGCAGGAAAAGAATGCGTAAAGCACAATTTTCAGACCTTGATACGGCGGTTTTCAAATGGTTTTAAGATATTCGTTCCAGAAATGTTCCTCTGACCGGTTCTTTAATTCGAGAAAAAGCCTTAGAATTTGCTAAAATGCTCGAAAATTGAGAATTTCGAAGCAAGTCTCGTATGGTTAGACCAATTCCGTGAACGATATGGTGTGGTGACTAAATACATTTCTGACGTATCAATGAATTCGGTTAACGGATGGAGAAGTTGCAGCACTCATCAAGAAATACAGCTTGAACCAAAAAGGACATTAACACAGAAAAAGACAAGTGTGTAGGGGGAAAAGCTTCTAAAAAACGCATCACCGCTCTATTCTGTTGTAACGAATCGGGAACGGATAAACGAAAAATTCTCATCATCGGTATACCTATCCGCAAAACCTCGTTGTTTCAAAAATTGTAAATCATTACTATGCATCTATACATTTAACAAAAAAGCATGGATAAATCAAATAATTTTTAAAAATTGGTTGATGGATTTCATCAGAGAAATTAAAAAAAAGAAGAGGAAAATTCTTCTTATCGACAACTGTATTCCACATAATGAACCACCAAAATTGGATTACATTCGTTTGGAATATTTCCCACCTAACTGCACAGCTGTACATCAACCTCTTGACCAAGGTATTATCAGAGCTGTAAAATCACGCTACAGAATTTTTTTATTACGTCAAATTGTATGTGATTTCGAGAAAAATATTCAAAGAAAATGCAATGTGAAGAAAGCTATCAAATGGATATTCGGAACTTGGGATAATATGTCAATCAACAATACTAACTGTTGGAAACATGCAACTCCAATCGAAAAAGCCGCTTCGGTGTCAAAAGTGGTCGAGTATGTATCAAATACGCACGACATCCAACATTCTGAGTTAGAACAAATTTGGATCACTGCAAAAAAAAAACGTCGCTTCCTGACGAAGTGAACTTAGAAGATTACCTCAGTGTAGATGAAAATGTTTCAACATGTTATGAATTAACCAAAGTAGACATCATTTAATCCATTTGATAACTTTAGTAAGAATGCTACTAATTCGAGGTAATAATTTCAACAAGATATAAAGCATAAAACTCTTTAAAAATACAACTACACAACTCGCGGAGCAACGCTCGCGTCGCGTTCTCCACGATACTGTCTTACCATTTTTTCCCCCTTCTCAAAACCCTCTGTTTTTTTGATAACACATTATAGATAGCAAAGATGAGGCCACCGATAAAAGTAGTGGAGATTAAGAAACTGCGATAGGAGATGATATACGCAATATCACTTCATCAGAAGCCTTATCAAGTTTGGAAGTAATGCGAAAATTCATTACATCACAAAGTGATGTTCCAGACTTAATTTTTACAAACATTCACCAACTAAAAAATTATTTACTTTTTATTGAAACAGTGAAGCTTGTTCAAAAGAAAAATGTCAGTTATCTATAATAACGTTTTTTTTTTTTTTTTTTTTTTTCGTAAATTATTGTCATTTGAAATATTTATTTATTATTTATTTGTACATATTTGAATTACATAATGTTTTTTAAATTTTTTTTTATTCGTATTTTTAAAATTTCGTTAGAACGAAAAAACTTCGACCCCTTGGAGATTGTTGTAACGGGAACTTACTGTACATATATATATTGCTTTTGTTTGTGTGTATACGATTGAACTAAATGACTGTATTGATTTTTAATAAATGTTGTGTGTAAAATTAAATTGATTCAAGAGTAGTTTAGATTCACAATTATATCCGATAGAAAATGTTTTTCACTCAAATAAAACAGGTTTTTTTTTAAAAAAAAAAACAACGTCTATAAAAATGTTGTTCATTGATTTGTGTCCAAAGGACTTCGAAACTATTTAACTGATTTTGATAATATTGTACGCCATGTAAGTGATTTCGTCCAAATTATATTATAGAATTGTTTATTTTTCGATTAATGTTGCAAATTAAATATTTATTATAAGACAAAGAATTGTTATTATGTGTGAGTTCTATAAGCTTCTAACAGATGGCGTTGGAATTAGTTTATTGACACTTATTAGTAACAATAAACTATACAACCTAAAACGTTTAAAAACATTTAAGTATTATTTGCTTGCTTCTAATTTTATGATTCCTATTATACATACATTCAAAATGATAAAGAATATTACTATCCTATCTCTGTTCTTCACAGATCTATTTCTAGGAAGTTAACCTGAATTTACATTTACATATTCCGCACTCAATCAAGTTCTTCGAATACAATAGCGAAACAACTTCTAAATTAATTTACCAGATCAACCAAATTTTACCGTTCCAGTTCACTGACTTCTTATTAAGATTATGGAAGTATCCAATTATCAAAGGTCTTATGGCAGCCTTCGAATTCTCTCCCACTGAATGCAAATAGTCACAGTTATGCCCTAGCAACAAAATAAAACTGAGTGGATTCTATATCCGATAGAACCTGATAACTCCTGATAAGGGGGTGTCCAGACACCCAAAACACTCCACCTTGTTTGCGCCATTGTTTGTACTTATTTGATCACAATAAGTAAAAAAAATGTTTGAAAATATAAATTTTTTTATAAAACTAAATACTCACTTTATTTTAACCGTAGTAATTTGCAAATATTATGCCTCAATAAGTGCATACGGTTTTGTATTTGTACTGCAGAACTACTCTTATATTTTTGTCTTCACTTATACTCATTTTATAATGGTCTCATATGTTTTTCCCTTTTAATCTCTTATTTCTTTAACTGAATTATAATTTTAATAAAAATGAAAATTGGTAAAATAATATTGTTAAATGGTTAATTATTTTAAATAATAATTTTTAATATTAAACATATAATATATGCTATATTATAATTTCTTTTACGATAAGTAATATGGTATGAAGATGGGTTCACGAGGAGACAGGGTTTGTAGTTTGCATTTATAATTCATTATCTAATATACACATACAGGTGCGTACTGGGTTCATTTTCCCTATCGGGAAACTGGATATAATTAGGGCCCACTTAATAAAAATACCAATAGAAATGAGTCTCATG